TCCCACTTCTACCAAAAAGAGAAAGAGAAAGGAGACCAAGAGAAACTAGAGACATGACTTCAGACTGTTCGGTGGATACCAAGAGAATCCAACAACGAACTATAATGGGATTTCAGCTTATCTCACAGCCCTCCACTTCACCTTCCTCCTTCATCCACTCCAGCATCCTTTTTCTCCTACTATTTCACCCTTTCTTCATGAGATTGAAGAAGAGATTGGCCGATGCGTGAGACTACATTAATTACCGGTACAAGTCAGGAGACTCTTTTCAGTCAACCCTGTGTGTTTGCAAGTGTATATCTTCTTCTAATCCCACGTACTATCACTAGTAATACTCCTAGTTCTCATTCTTTCTCTCACTCTCTCTCTCTCTCTCTCTCTATCTCTCTCTAAGCTTCTCGGTAGACACATGAAGAGAAATTTCAAGAATGCGATTTTAACTGTAACTTTCGTCGTGATTAAGGAAGATTGCTTTTGTCTGAGAGGACATTCTCGAGGTTCGGAATTGATTAATAATTCGCTTCAACGATACAACGTACTGAGAGTGAAAGAGAAAAAGAGAAAAAGGGTTAGATAAGGAGAGAGACAAGAACAAAGTGTTGCATTACTCGTGTACTGAAATAGTTCGAGGAGAAACATCGCTAAACTATCTCTCTTCCGAAGCGACGAACAAAGCCGATCGCTTGATTTACATCGTTTGCCAACTTGAAAACACTCAGCTTAATTTTATTTCATACCAAATTTCTTCCTACACTTTTCGAAGTCAAATATATTGGCTTGTTCAAAAAATTCGTAACAATTTCAAAATGTTGATGTTAAATCGCTTACTGTTACATCGTTGTGCTCTTCTAGACGTTCGTTAATATCTTATAAATGATTATGCATACATTGACTAAATCAACCTGTACATTCGCATTAGCAGGAATAAATTCTAAGGGTTGTTAAAGATTCATGAACATGTTTTATTAATTTTATTTAAGCTGATGGTAGGGGGATGTCTCTTGGTTATAGTTGTTACCTACTCACCTAAACAAGGATTACATCGAGTGAAAAGGGAAGTGTGAAGAAGGGAACAAACCGGACGAAGGAGCTGATGGGACTCGATCGATCTTTCAAGAAAGTTTGGAAATTGAGTGTGAATAGCGATAGACCGATGGACATACACCTCCGGCAGCATACATAGCTGCTGCTATACCAACCGGAAGAATAATTCGGAAGATTAACCTGGTGACGTTAGAAAATGAATTTTCTTTGACAGATAAGCTCAACTTTCTTTATTTTTATTCTTTTTTTTTTTTGTTCTTTTCATCCTTAGAAATGATTTATGATTCCTTGACTACTTTCTCTCTTTTTCTTTCTCTTTCCTTTCCTTTCCTTTCCTTTCCTTTCCTGCCAACTATGTCACGCGAGAATAGAATCCAGATCATCATAGTAATAATAATAATAATAATAATAATAATAATATAATAAAAAGAATATATTATAAAGTTCAATAGAGATGCCTATAAAAATATGTTTCATTAATATTGAACGATCAAAATATTATTCGACACGAGTCCTCGTAAAACGATATACATCATCGTAAATTGCACTCGATTTACTAGACTATTAGCAACTTCGTATGCCAACGATGGAATAAGTAGGGTGTGTGGAGAGGAAGAGGGAGAGAGAGAGAGAGAGAGAGAGAGAGAGAGCATCCGTGGTGAATTTTGATGCACCAATGTACAGAGCATATTCCTTACACCTGCCGGATACAGTACGTGCAACGTAGACAAGACTCGAGTATGTAAGCTCATGTGATCTATGCTTTAATACAGGTTGTCGCAAAAGCGATTTTAATATCATATGAAATAGTACGAATATTTGTAACAAAGTATCCCTGTCGTTCATTACTGTAAGATATGATTTTTGTGATGTATGACAAAATAAAAAATTGCGCAAATAAAAAAAAGAAAAGCGGATATAAAAAAGAAAATAAAAGAAGAAGAAACAGCTTTCCATTAGACTCATTTCTAATTCGAATAGAAACGAAACCGGTAGTAAAATGGACTCGAATCGAAGTGCATTCGGTCCGCCAACTTTGGTCCATCTGTGATAACAGACCCTTTTAACGTTACAAACGATACTTCCGTTATTTCAAAATACAATTGAATCGTCGAACTTGTTGTTCTTGCGACAATATTTTTCTAAGCGAAGGTACATTGTCTACCGGTTAAAAGTTTGAAGTCACTTACCAATTTTTTGGTCAAAAATCTATATATATTGAAACGATCAACGATGCAAAATGTTATTTTGCAATTGAATGTAAATATTCATTTGAAAGTTTGATAATCCGAAAATATGTTTCTGAAGTTAGGAAAATTTAGAAACTTTGTATTACAAACAAATATCAATTACTACCAATACTCTTATGATTCGTATGTGTATGTATGTGCTTGTGAGTAGATGAGAATGTGTATTTACGTAGGAGAGGCCAGTTACCTCTCGTCTGCACTCAAATATGACGACACACAATATTCCTCCAGCTAGTGTATTTCGCACCAGGAAAACCGGAAAACAGTCACATTTGTCATTGTTGTAACGGACAAGGAATAGTGCATACCAGAAAATGGAGAAATGTTCCTATATATAGATATGTATATAAATATGTAGAGGATATATAGTTGCACCTATACGAAAAGAGAAATATTACAAGAAAATAGTTACGAACTTGACAATAAAGACAAATTTAATGGATTATTCGATTATGATCGTCCTAGCATAATGGGATAGTTTCAAAGAAAAAGATTCTTTTATCAAAGCAGATCGTTCTAAACAGTATCCAAATGTATTGCAGCCTACAAATTACAGTAACTCAATTATATTATGTTCTATTTTGAGAGATATTCTCTCCTTCTATATATTATAATCACATACATGTTTGTACGTGTATACATCGTTTTAGCAATCTATCTATGTCATATAAACACAATACCAAAACTAAAGATCATTAGCCGGATACCGAGGATCTATTAGGATGATATGAATACTCTGTATTATCCTAGGACGATCCTAGAAATCTATTTACGATACGGTTCCTTCCTAAATCCACGAGGACTTATGGCTAACGATGTCCTTTACGCTTACGTGATATCCTATACGCTCGAGGTATCACAAACCAAAGTTAAAAGCTAGCGCATTAAGAAGGTAATGCTTGGAATATTTCATGAAATACACTAGACTCTTTTATTACTATTAAATTATGTAACATGACGCAAATAAGATCAGTCCAAACGAAAATCTTGTTCTACTTCGACGTATTGGAAATCTAGCGATTGATCGAAATGGTACTAACTAAAAGCGCATAGTACCCGATGTCAAGTATAAATCATAAACGGGATGAAAACGGGATGAAAACGGAATGAAAACGGGATGAAAACGGGATGAAAGCGATGTTGTCGGAACGCTTTTACGCAGCTGTGCGAGCAAAAGAGGGCAGTTACCCTTGACGATGACACCCGAGAGTGGCTCGCTCGGCAGCTATCCTCGTAGTGCTTCACACGAGGAAACCCGGAAAATAATCGTGTTTATTAGAGAGAGTCGTATGTTAACGTCTATCTTTCTCTCATACCAACCGTTAGGTTCAACCCTATCTTTATACTTTGTCATAACCGCGAATAAACGAATAAAGAACAAACCAAAAATAAAATAATAAATATTTCGCGCTATTTCGATTAAACGTGTGTACATCAGTGTAATCTCCAACTAGGTTCCCATCCCTCTAGAAATGATTTTTAAAAACAACAAAATATTACAGAATAATAACGCAAAGAAGATACGTAATATATACGTAACGACAATAATAAAAAATGGAATTTGTTATAAAATATAATCGAAAGAGATGAAATGCATATAAGTTTAGTTAGTTCTCTTGTTCCTTTTTTTGGCTTTTCCTTTTATTTGTATTATTTTTGTTTTGTTTTTGTATTCTTTTTGTTTTATTTAGTTCTATTCCATGCGGAACGTCGAGTAGTGAGCTGGAGTTTGCGCTGTTAAAGTTCGTTCATATAGCGCAGGTACGGTCGAGCACGTCGGTGCATGCGCAATAGTGTATTGATCCTACGAATCTAAGATGCATGTACCATCATCCAGTGGTCCATTGGCTGTACACAATGCCATTACTGTTCTACGTTCTTCCGCCGTTTCATTAAACGGTACGAACTTGTCGTGAGAGTAATGCGATACACGACAGATCTTCTTGCATTTCCGATCGATAAAAAGCCTCGAGACATCACGGAGGAAGATCGTAAGAGTTTGGTTCTTTAGATTATGACATCTATCGAAAAACACGAGATTTCATCCTGCATATTAACACGCACCGCTAACACTTTTTGGAATCCTGTTTAACGAGTACGTACTAAAAATCACGCGTTTTATTATTATTATTATTATTATTACCGTAGAAAATATTATTTTTCTTTATTCATTTATTTAAAATACATCACATCGCATCATCGATCAATTTACTTTGGTCTACTGTAATATCAAACTACGCGACCATAAGTAATTGGTCATTTTCAAATGCTTTATTTTATTTATTAAAAAATTGAAATATTTATATTCTTCTATTCTATCAAAATAACTCTAATGTCAGGAGTTTATTTATAAATGAACGTTTGTAAATCGTAGGAAATTAATCAAAAGAAAGTAATACGAACACGTTATGTTAAATGATAATACAGTAGGTATGAACGACTCCAAGTTTAATTTCAACTCCTTCGGCATAAAGTCAATATAGATAGATGGTAGTTAACGCAACAGGTCCATAAATCCCTGACTGGCAATAGCATATAAAGCCTAGTTAAGCTAACGTTATAAAGGTAAAAGTGTCGATTGTATTAAACTGCAGGCTCGTTTCGACAATAATTTATTGATCGACCCCAACAGTCGTCGATACCGCTAACACTGAGTAAAGAAAAGAAATAATTTGTACTTTCTTCCATTTGTTTTTGTAATTTTAGGAAATAACCGATCAAAGGTATACAACAAAATCAATGTACGAGAAAGATAAAGTATAATGATAGCGAAATTAATAGTCGTAATCCTCGCGGCGGCGAGTATTTGCCATGGGAATCCTGATGCTAAAAGACTTTACGACGACCTGTTATCCAATTACAATCGTCTTATTCGACCCGTTTCAAACAACACAGATACGGTCGTTGTCAAGCTAGGTCTTCGTCTTTCTCAGCTCATCGACCTGGTAAGAAGCTAATTTTAAAATAGTTCTTTCTCCGAGATAGTGTTCTTCAATAAAATACTTTAAAATAGAAAAGAACAATCCTATATTAAGAATTCGATTTAATTTGCAGAATTTAAAGGATCAAATCCTAACGACTAACGTTTGGCTCGAACACGTGAGTTCCTACAGCAATCCGATAAATAATAATAATTAAAAAAAAAATGTTACCGTTTACTTTTAGGAATGGCAGGATCACAAATTCCAATGGGATCCAACGGAATACGGTGGTGTTACGGAACTCTATGTACCGAGCGAACACATATGGTTACCCGATATCGTACTTTACAACAAGTAAGCAATTTCATGGTAAAATATCTCTATCTCTCTATCTCTCTCCCGATAAGATGATAGATAAAATAAACTTTAACATCGATTTTCAGCGCCGATGGAGAATACGGGGTAACAACCATGACAAAAGCTATTTTACATTACACGGGTAAAGTACTTTGGACACCTCCGGCTATTTTTAAATCATCCTGCGAAATCGATGTGAGATATTTCCCGTTCGATCAGCAAACCTGTTTCATGAAGTTTGGTTCTTGGACGTACGATGGCTTCCAGGTTAGCAAACAAGCAAATTGATTAAACAACATTTCAAAGAATAATGTAATAATCATATACATATTTACAGATTGATTTGAAACACATTAATCAAAATATGGGAGACAACAAAGTAGAAGTAGGTATCGATCTACGTGAATATTATCCAAGCGTCGAATGGGATATTTTAGATGTACCTGCGGAACGTCATAAAAAATATTATCCCTGTTGCGAGGAACCTTATCCCGATATATTCTTCAATATCACGTTACGTCGTAAGACGTTGTTTTATACGGTTAACTTAATCGTACCGTGCGTTAGTATTTCATATCTTTCGGTATTGGCTTTTTATCTACCTGCCGATTCGGGAGAAAAAATAGCCCTCTGTATCAATATACTTCTATCTCAAACAATGTTTTTCCTACTAATATCAGAAATTATACCGTCGACTTCATTGGCGTTACCTTTATTAGGCAAATATTTGCTATTCACTATGATACTAGTCGGTCTTTCCGTAGTAATAACGATAATAATATTAAACGTACATTATCGTAAACCGAGTACACACAAAATGGCACCTTGGGTAAGAAAAATCTTCATTAGAAGATTACCTAAATTATTATTGATGAGAGTACCGGATGATCTTCTCAATGATCTTGCCGCTCACAAGTTACACGGACGTGGAAAATCTGGGAAAAAAAGTAAATTCAATGCAGCCGTTGCAGCTGCGGTTCAAACTTCATCCATAGTTTCTTCCCCGGATTCTGCTCGTCATCAACGTATCGGTGGTACTCTATTCTTATTTTATCCATTTTTTGTTATACGCCATTTTTATACTAATAAAATAATGATTGAATTCACATCGTATTTTACAGGTTGCAACGGTTTACATACAACATCTGCACACAATAGATTTCTTGGAGGTTTTGGTGGCTACAACGGTCTGCCAACTGTCATGTCCGGATTAGATGAATCTCTGAGTGATGTAACGCCTAGAAAGAAGTATCCGTTCGAACTCGAGAAAGCTTTGCACAACGTCATGTTCATTCAACATCACATACAACGACAAGACGAGTTCAATGCCGTAAGTGTTAACGAATATAATTAATCAATCGCAATTAATAATCATTTTTCTTTCTATTCTTCGTAGGAGGATCAAGATTGGGGTTTTGTTGCAATGGTTTTAGATCGACTTTTCCTTTGGATCTTCACGATAGCTTCCATAAGTGGAACATTTACTATACTTGCTGAAGCACCTGCACTATACGACGATACTAAACCTATCGATATGCAATATTCTTCCGTTGCTCAGCAACAATATCTACCAAGTTCAGAATTTTTTGATCAACTTAATCAAAACTGATAACTTCATTTATTCGAGTATTTGGAATACGATGTACAGTTCATACGAAAGTCTTGTCTTATAAGAATGCGTTCAAAAAAAAAAAAAAAAAACAACATAAAAATAAAAAAAGATTTGCAAGACAAGAGAAAGACGCGTCTAGAATGATCGAATACGTTTTTTGCTAAAATATCTAATTGTAAACGTAATTGTTCGTATGTAATCCACGATTCTATTTCTAGCGAGTGCTTCAAACTACAACAACAACAAAAAAGGAATTTTTACAAAATGTTAGACATATTCACGAGTAGTATCGGCACTCTTTTAAATCACGACAAATTTCGAGATAAACGTGGCCTACAAATTCAAAAGATTGGTTAAAGCGTACATATGTACAGGGTGGTGTGCGAACATCAACGAAAATTTTCTAAAGTGTCTTAATGTACTTTAATGTGACGATAATCTTTTTTAACACTTTTTGTAAAATATTGTTTTCCCTAAGAGTCTTTACATAATAAAACAAAAATCATGTTAAAATTCCTTGATAATTCTTCATAAAATAACAAACTCCGAAATAATCGCCAATTTATTTGGACACCACCCTTATTGTTACTCGACAAGAATTTTCACCGTAAAACTTTAACCACGTAACTATTTAAACGAAATCTCCGTGATAAATATAACAAAGATTTTCTAGTGTGCCAATCGTATGTAACACAGTTACGATAGCGATGTAAGATCTCTTTATAAACAATTCTAATTATTAGGGATTGCGGTACGGTTGTAGAGAGAGAAAGAGAGAGAGAGGGGGCAGAGAATGATAATCATTAATTCGTCAATCTTTACCTGTGAATACAGAAAAATGTCGATAATTAAATTAATCTTCCCGATAAATAAATAAGTATATTAATACTAGAATATTATATATTAATATTAGAAACTTACGTGCATAGGTTTTCGATAAAAATATAGGCAACATCTTTTTCATTACGACTGGCTAAAAAATATCATGTGGGCAGATCACACGTGTTAGAAGTGAAACCTTCGAAAAACTAAGTTTCGAGAGAATGAGACGAATGCAGAATATCAGGTGTACGATAATTGTAGGGTTGTTTTTTTATAATATTAATACTATAATACTGTTACCAATTTCAAAAATAATTTTACATTTACTAACATATAATGCATAACATATTACACAGTAGGCAAGTTCTCAATTCAAAGAAATAAGACAAGTTGCTTCTGGTAAATAAAAAATGTATAAAAATTAAACACCTCTTTGCATGCAAGAAATGCACAAAAACCTTCCGTCAAACAATTTGAAACTTTCCTATTATTTTCTTTCTGCAGATTTTGGCGAAACTGGCGTTAATATTCCGCCGAGAGACACTAAAATAACAATACGCAACATCCAATTGAAAATCATCTAAATAGAAAATAAAAAATAATGTTACAAAAGTGATCTATTAAGATTATGCTTATCTAGAATGAGTAAAAAGAATAAAAAGAGATATATATTGATTAGAAGCTATTTAATGAAGTCCTGAGGTTTTTTCCGAAAAGTAGTGAGGTTTTGTACTTTGTGTACACTTTGAGTCGTAAATTTCAGCGTCATGGTAAGCTCCACCGATTCACGCCGGGCGTTTAACATCCTAAAAATGTTTTTATTTTATTTAAACATTAGTATGTGTTTCTTAACACTAGATTGCCCGAGATTTCTTGTATAGCTATATTGCCCAAAAACAGTCAAAATGACTGCATTGTGAAAAAATAACTAATGTGTAAACAAATTTGTTTAAAATTAATTTTTAATATTTCTTATATTATTTACAGTTATACAACAAGTTATTAGTAAATATTAACAATAAAAACCAAATTCTAAGAAATTGTGTCATTATATACATAATTGTTTTTCTAATTGAAAATAAAAAACAGTCAAAATGACTGCCTTGGGCAATCTAGTGTTAAATACGCAAGTATTACAATTAATAATATAATTTTTTTATATGCGACTTAAAATGTGACTTGTTTTTGAATGGAATTTGTCAGCTGCTCCTAATGTATTCTACAGTGTTCTCTAATTTTTTTTTTATGTATCTGATAATTATTTTTTTTTTGTAAAATATTGCAGATAATAAAATTATTATATTCTATATATTTTCTAATTATTAATTGTAATATTTGCGAAATAAAGTATTTGATATACATTTTTTAATAAAAAAAAAAAATAGAAATATTTTTAAATAGAAAAGAAATGATACGTTTAGTAAAAAAAAAAACAGACCACGCACCTTCTTTCTTTATTTTGACTGTCGGTTCGTTTGTACCTTATTTTTTTGTTGCATACCTACGTTCTTATCTCTGTTTATTCTTCTACCCTTCTATCGCTCCTACCTACAAACTATTTGAGTATCGAAATAATATGTGTCCACTCTTCGTAGTATGTAGATGAACACAAACACACACATATAGAACCAGGAGCGATAACTACGAAGCATAGCATAAAGAGGAGACCGAGAATAGAAGAAACTGTATAGCTATATTCTGTCTCATTCTCTCACAGGCTCAATCTTATATTTTTGTCTCTTTTTCTCTCATTATTTAGTATAGCAGCCGTTTCATAGCTCCGTTTCATAGCTCCGTTTCCTGACCGACCGTGTTTCATTTTTTTTCAGATCACTCCCTATTCTAAAGAAGTTTTCACTTCAAAAGTAATCAAATTTGTTCGATACACACTGTAAGTCAATGAAAATAAAGATAAATACCTAATAATAACATTATTAAATCTGTTGAAAAACAAATTACCTAATATTAATTTATAAACAGTTTTAATTTATAGGCCACCGATGAAGCAGAGTTGCGTTTAACTAATAGTAAGCAAAGGTAAATTTCAATTCCTAGCTATAATTGGTAATAGTAGAGTATTGTTTTACTGACAACAGATATCTACATTTTTTTATGACGATAAAAATGATTTCTTCTTTTCCTCGCAATCTGTTATAACGAGTTCTTACTTATCCGAACGTCGGTAATAATTAATTTTAACCGCGAAGAGGTATGAATACAATTGCATTCAGATTTGCAGTAAAAATCCAGATAAATATAAATATGAATACATAAATGTAAGTCTGATAACTCGTTAATTATAACAGAATCACGAAATAAAGAACAGAAATCAAGATAGACTCGTATAGGTCAGATAACTGTAATTATTGGAAATAAATAGGACGTGATTTGAATTATTATTAGATATTGGATATTATATAAATATTACATAAACGTCTTCTAATTAGAACATGGATATAAAAATAGGTGTAGAATTCGTGTCAAGTGTACATCGGCCTTTCATTGTAAGACGAGTTTAATATGCATTACGGCTAAGAGAAATGACTTAAGCTATTGCCATATAGCAAAAAAACCTACGATAAATTATTTGTTTTATTATTATTATTTTTTTTTTTTTTTTATAGTAAACACCCGCGTGTTTTTATTGACTTGATTTTTAGAAGTTGAACAAATCATTACATGTAACATTTTGAGTTTCAATCTGCGATCACGCTGTTCGCATTTATAATAAATATGAAAAGGTCTGAAAATATTATCGTTTTGCATTTCGCAATAGACGATGCGTGTACAAGGATTCTTTCTATCATGCATTAATAAAACAAGTATCATCGTCATATGTTACAAAAGCTACGCACAATTAAATATTAATGTTCTAGCCATAGATTTTTATACCTCGACATAAATGGCCACTATAATAGTAATGATACTATCCGAGTATTTATTCTATATAACCGATCAAATAACGTATTTAAATGTATCGTAATCTTATGCGATAAAGTAAATATTTTTATTTTTTATTTATTATTTTTTGCCTCGCTTTAAAATGGAATGGCAAATCCATCGCAATATGCTCGATATATTTTGCAATACTTATTATATACAATACTAGCATGTGTGGTGTGAGTGTATATATTATATATAATATATCACGTATAATACAAATAAAACATTTGTTCATAGTACTAATATAAATGGACATGCGTGGAATGCTCTTAGAAATATATTCACATTATGGCGGTATTCTATCTTTTTCTGTCCTTCTTCTTCGAAAGCTTTCTTCTCTCTTTGTTTCAATATACCTTCCTAAAAAGACAACAGCATTGCCTTTAAAACTAATTTCATTGAACTCGAATGGTATACAAAGTGCTTCATTTTGCATATGCTGCATTGTGTTTATCGATAAAAAAGATTTAACATATTTATTATGCGTATGTGCGCCACGTTCAATATCATATATTTTCCCAATGTAACTCACTGATGTTTTAAATGGTACAAAAATAAAAGTTCGCATGAACCCCGTCGCTACTAAAACCGGAGGTATGACTATTTTCCTTGCGGATTCTTTTCCTCTAGAATATAAAATATATGTATATATATATATATCAAAAAAAAGTCTACTGTTATCAACATGACTTACTTAATTAATTATCGATTGATTTTACATACTAGAGAATTAACAAACAAAAAATAAAAGAAAACAATATGAAATACAATAAAACAAAATAATGAAAGGAATATTTTTTAAATGCCAGTCTTACACACGCGCACTCATGTATATATATATATACATCTATCGCTTACTCACGCAACATCATAAATGTCACAAGGAGACAGGCGTGTTCTGGTTTTCAAGAGGAGTTCCTTTCGAAATTCTTTCTCCTTAATAGGAATAAGCTTCACTACACCGCGTGTGGAACGTAATAAATGCAAGCAAGATAACACTTTGACATGTTTTTATGCAACGATGATATAAATATATATATATACATATATATATTATATCGCATTCCCTTAGTTCAATTCATTTGGTTTTCTCATATCTTATCAACTAACTCTAATTGAACAGAATTAAAAGTAGATGACTATCACTCATCAACTAGGTTGCACTCGAATGTTTCATAACGAATAAGCGTAAAACTTGCATGTATATACGTATACATACATTCATACATACACACGATTATCATATCATACATACGTACTATTTGCAGCACACAACCTGCTACAATATATATATNATATATATATATATATATATATATATATATATATATATATATATATATATATATATAGGTACCCTTATTAACCATTCTTGCGTTACTTTTTATGCACGACGATTATAAAGTATCGAATACGTAGTAGTTTGTTTTTGTTTTCTTTTTCTTTCTTTTCTTCTGTTATCTTTTTTTGTATCTTGTTTCATCAAATAACGCAATACCTAATTATTATTACTATTATTACATGGAAGGCTGAGAAAAAATACGTCTTTTGTGCACCACGTGAAGAGAGACATTGCACATGTTTTTTTTTTTTCACAGTAGCAATCAACCTTTCCATGTACCAATGTGACTTTTGCAATTGGGACATAAATGATGAACACTTATGAAGGTACTCATGCAGTACGGCAGACAAGAGCAGAGGCAACATCTGAAATAAAATATATTTTATTTAACGATCTTACTTTACGTTGACAACAAAAATTCTTAGGACTTAAAATGAATAAATCCAAGCTATTTACAACAACATTTATAACTAACCCCAATAAACAGAGGATAATACAACAAATGTGAGCAGCCGGTTGGTGATCCGATATCGTAGTGGTTTTAATATCAGCATAGCAGGACGGGCAGGTTATTTTGACCGCGTGCGGACCTAGCGCAAAGGTTACGTGTTGGTGAATGATTCGCACTTCCGACGGAGGTGCAAAGTTCTGATCCGTATTAAGCGACTGTGATGCGTTGCGGTCAGCCGGCACGACATAATTCGAGGGCATTGGCATTGTCATTTGTTTCGGTGGTTGATTATCTACAATTTTAAACAAATATATACATCAATCTTATTTAGAATAAATATGAAAGTATAAAAAACAATGTAATTAATATAATATAATATTGTATAGCGTACAGGTAGGTGGTACTGGCATGGAGGATACTGGCATGGAAGGTACTGGCATGGAGGGTACTCCAACAGGGTATGGTGGATTAGGTACACCACCATAAGCAATAGCTTCTTCGTAAGTAGGTGGACCTATTGGTAATGAGGCTTCCACAGGTGCTGATGGTTCCATGTTACTATTATTCGATGCAATATTTTTCGCCATATTTTCTAAAATGACAGGATCAAGAATTAATGATCTAACCTTTTTTAATTAGTTAATAAACTTAAAAAAAAATACAAACTTACCAAGTGAAGAATGATTAAATGATTAGTTTGTGCACACAATTACTAATACACACTTACATATTGTTTCTTAACATTATTTTTTAAATAAAAATACATCACAAAAACTCTATTTTTTTATTAAGGTTCAAAACTTTGCAATTAGTTCTTGCATAACCATAAGGTATAAAAGCATCTAAATACACATATACATTTATCTATTTAAATATTTGACGTAGGTAAACTCCGTAACTTGGGGAATAGAAAGTGAATGTTAAGTAACGGAATCACCGATGACGACACAACTCAATTAAATTCGAAAGTATTTGTGTATGTGTGCGTGTTCTATAGATATATATAAATAATACATAGTATCCTCAAATTTTTCCACATAATGTTACAAAACTTTATTAATAAAAATAAGAAAATGATTTAATCTAACTATTTTAAATATCTTTCAAAAACTGTTTCATTAAAAAATTATATAAGACGAATAACAAACTTTGGTATTATCTCGTTTATTAGATATCACGCTAATGTATTTTTAATTTAAAAAAAAAAAAAAGAAGACTGAATTATGTATTAGATTAAAAACAAATATGCTTGAGAAATAAATGCTTGGAATTTCAATATTTTTTGTTGTTAAACCCAATCAAGTGCATAGACAAAAATTGATGGTGAATACACATTGTCGCATATTTATTTTTTAAAAGATTATTTACTTGTTTAATTTTGTTCGATTTTTTGAATCGCATACAAATTTATCTAAAAAGGAAATATTGTCTGACGTAAGATAGTATTATTATTATCTAGACAATTGATAAATTCTTGTATATAATATTTTTCGCCCGCTCTCTCTCTCTCTCTCTCTCTCTCTCTCTCTCTCTCTCTCTCTCTCTCT